GGTGGCGCAGCAGTTGAGCACTGGGCTGCAAGCTGCCTGCAGCCTCTGCAGCGCCAGTTCGATCCCCGGCTGCCAGCGAGGGTCCCACATGGCGCGCGCAGACCTCTCCTGCCGCGCCCGCTGCTCCCCTCGGAAGTGTATTTCATCACTCTGCCTGTTCTGCTCCCCACTCTGGCTCTGGTGAATTCTCTCACCCTCCGTGCTTCCGACTGTACCCCAGTGCTTGTATAAATAATAAACAGATAAATAAATAAATAATAAATCTTTTTAAAAAAAATAATAAAAACAGACAGCAATCAAAACTATGGTTAAATAAATCATGACTCATCCATGCAATGCAGTTTTATACAGAATAAGGTAAATATTTTTGATATGGAAAGATCTCATTGATAAGGGGGGAAATAAAGCAAAGTGCAGAAAAGCCTATAAAGGAGATCCATTTCTGATAGTAGAAGGTAGGTCCTACTAGACCTTTCATCATAACTGCTCTAAATTCTGGCTTTGGCCAACCAAAAGCAGGCCAAAACTGAAGGCAAATTGATAGTTAGAAAAAAAGGAATTTCCCTGATAAGTTTTACACCTTTTTGTCTGAATACAGACAGTCAAGTAGGGAAGCTAACATTTTAGAGTTGAATAAATAATTAACCTACTAAATTAAATAGTGTGAGAACCAGAGATGAGAGTTCTGGACAACCATAGCCTATAGAAAGTAGTTACAGGGATTGGAGAAAGAATAGCCCCAAATTTTACATATAAATTCCACTCAAGTCTGGTTGATCCTTGAACTACAAATCACTGGGTAGATTGTAAACAGCCAACAGGGTAAAATATCTAAACAAATTTCAGTTGCTTTCCACCTGGGAAAACAGAACCTATAGTTATAAACCCAAACAAGTTAACTGCCTGCTGTGCCAAAAGTCAGTATCCTTAAGAGGAACTTAAAGGGGGCCTCCCTGGTGGCACAGCGGTTGAGTGCTGGGTTGCGAAGCTGCCTGCAGCCTCTGCAGCGCTGGTTCGATCCCCGGCTGCTCCCCGGCCACTGGAGGAGGGTCCCGCATGGCGCGCAGACCTCTCCTGCTGCTCCCCTCAGCAGTGTACTTGTGAATTCTCTCACTCTCCCGCGCTTCTGACTGTACCCAGTGCTTGTATAAATAAATAAATTAATTTTTTTTAAAAAAAGAGGAACTTAAAGGAACTCAGTCTGTCACATCATCATTAACATACAATCCAAAATTGGTAACATTTGAAAAAACAGGAAAGTATGACCCATACAGAAGAGGAAAGACAATCTGTTGAGACTTATTTATTTATTTATACAAGCACTGGTTACAGTCAGAAGCGCGGGAGGGTGAGAGAATGCACCAGAGCCAGAGCGGGGAGCAGAACAGGCAGACTGACGAAGCACACTGCTGAGGGGAGCAGCGGGCGCTACAGGAAAGGTCTGCGCACCCTGTGGGACCCTCACTGGGGGCCAGGGATCAAACCAGCGCTGCAGAGGCTGTGGGCAGCTTCGCAGCCCAGCGCTCATTCCTGCGCCACCAAGGGGAGGTCCACAGATAAGGGTTTTAAAACAGATGTTATAACTGTCTAAGTATCTTAGGAGCATGTGCTTGCAATGAATGAACAAAGTGAAATCTTAGTAGGGAAATTAGAAATTCTCACAAAGAACTAAATATAAATTCTAGAACTAAAAAGTATAATGTCTAAAAATTTCACTGCATGGACTAATAGCAGTTTGAGGATCACAGAAGATTCACTAAAACTTGGATTATAGTTCACTGGAAATGAGCCATTCTGAATAATAGGAGGAAAATGACCTATCAAATATGAAAAGCTCTGTTCAAAAGAAGAGAAGAAATTGTGGCCAAAAGTTTCCTGTATTTGCTGGAAAAATACACAAATTGGAGAAATTTGGCAAACCTCAAGCAGGATAAATACTACTAAGATTACATCTAAGCACATCAAACAAAAGACAGAGATAATGAGAAAATCTTGAAAGTAGCCAGAGGAAATGACAGATTAATTAAAGAGGAAGAGTCGTACAAATTACTGTGGCATTCTTAATGGAATAGTAGAGATCAGAGCATTGAATGACATCTTTAAAGCACTGAAAGAAAAGAACTGTCAAGCTAAATTCTATGCCTAAAGAAAATATTCAGTGAATGTAAAAATGAAAGTATTTCCAAGTAAAGAGAACCTAAGTCTTTATTACCAAATAGACCTACATTATAATAAATAGTAAGATGAATTTTTAAGGCCTGAAATGAAAAATATGTGGATAAATGTAAAAACCCGTTTTTCTCCCTTAAATTCTTTAAAATTCAAATAACTCCTTGTCTCAATATCTACCTTGGGGGTATTACTATATGGAGTTGGCTGAGTAATGACATGGATAGCCCAATGTCAGTGAAATAAAATTTTTACTAAGTTTCCCAAGAGATGGGGACATACTGTGTCACTCAGAGCCCCTAGAAATAACAATTTTGGTCAAGAGGCAGAAAGATCAAGGAGAAATCCTAAGCCAGAGCCTTAATTGAGGTTTCCACAAGAAACACAAGGCCCTCTCCTGACTCGCCCACTGCTCCCCTCAGCAGTGTACTTCCATAATCTGCCTGTTCTGTTCCCCACTCTGTCTCTGGTGAATCCTCTCTCCAGGCCTCTGGCCTATTCCCCAGCTCTTGTATGCATAAATAAGAAAAAAAACCTTTAAAAAAAGAAAGAAAGAAACACAGGGCAGATTGGAGTAAGCAATGTAGGGTTGTTTTGGTTGAATAGTTTTGATAGGCCCGAGGCATCGAGCCTATCTGGTCTGGCTCTGGGTTGATTTTGGACAAAGGCAGTATTGGCTTGTTGTGAAAGTTTAATGAGATGGTTGGAGTTGTGGGCTCTTGATTGGTTAGTTAGTATATGAAATGCTGCTCCAGGTAAGCCCTTAGCTGTCTATGAAAAGACTGGTCTGGGAAGGGAGAGAGTATGGAGGGAATAGTCACCAATGATCCAGGACACAAATATCAGAGAATACAATTGCATTAATAAAATGCAGTTGACCCTTTGATGAATAGATGCCAAATAAACAAATACAGAATGTTTTGGCTAACATTCATTTGGATAATTAAAAATTACTAATTCCTGCAAGGAGGTCATAGAGAATACACAGTTACGTGATAATAAAGATGCATTTCTGAAAACCAAAACCTCATCTTGTACTTTCTCTGTGATACTATTTTTATGGGATTTTAATGGGGAATAAGTGTAAGTATCCCAACCAAATTTGTTACAGTTGTTTGCTGGCACCTGGACAGTTCATTTTTATGAAAATTTTCTTACACAGGCTATATTGATTTGTCAAAAAGAAGAGTTTCTCCAGAGGAAGCAATCAAGTGTGAAGATAAATTCACCAAGTCCAAAACTGTAAGTAGATTTTTGAGTCATATTAGTCCACTGTTGGGTGGATGTGTTTAATAATAATTAGTATGTTATATTCCTGACAGAAAAATAAAAAACAAAACTTACGTTTTTTGTAATTCTTTATTCCTGTTTCCAATTTTGTGTCATATAATTTGAAGACTTAATTTCGACTTAATTACAGTGTTTTTAATCTCATGTTGTTAGTTCCTTCAAGCACTGCTTATTTAATGTTCACAAATCAATGCAGGATGTTAGTGTTTAAGCTGTTTTTGATTAAATTAACAATGGCTAACATCAGCTGATTTGACAATATATTGTTCTTGACTTTCATCTCTGATATGGAATAAGTATCACAGGAAAAAACCAGCAGGTATATGTTAAGAATGAGAAAGATTATATAAAAAATGTGTGAATCCAGGAAGGTAAGTCAAGTCCTATTATTAGATCCCTCCCCCTCATATCCTTCCCCACCACCCGTACCCCCAGTTTGTTAGTTATTTGTATTACTATTTTTTGCTAAAATTTCCTGCTCACTTATCCAGAGTAAGCACTAACGAAGCAAGAACCACCGTTTCTTCATTCTTCATGTTCTTTTTCTGTTCTCTTGCCCTTTTTAAATTATCCTTTATTCCCTAGATCCTTGATTCTTAATGGCACTATTTCCATTGTTTCTGTTCTTTGCTCTTTTGTGTCCTTTGCTCTCTTCTGCCATGTATATTATATTCATTCCTGTCCTCAACACAAAATGCCAAGAAAACTGTTCAAATAAAGAAAAGATTTTTAAAATCTTGCTTATTAACCATAGTAAAAAAGAATAAAAATCTTTTTTAAAACTATCAGACCATTTACCCGAGCCTTTCCCTTCATTTTAATAATGTGCTTACTCGTTTGGTGGTTTGTTTTTTTGTTTTGTTTTGTTTTGTTTTGTTTTTTTGTTTTTAAGCAAACATGCTGGTTCTCTGTTTTATTTTTATTTTTCTTATTATTTTTTAAAAGCTTTATTTTTATACAAGAACTGGGGTACAGGCCAGAGGCATCAGCAAGATCCCTTTTTAGTAAATTCTTAGGACCTTACCACTCAGAACGTAGTCTCTGAACCAAGTTTTAGCATCACCACACAGCTGACTAGAATGCAGGATCTCAAGTCACACCAAGTTTGAGGATCCAAATTTGAGAACCACTGCTCTTGTTTCTTTCCCCTATCATATTGTCAAAATAAGATGGCAGAATGAAATACCGAATTTAGTACCTTTCCTCAGATTTCATGTGTAATTAGCACAAGAACCTCCTTCCTTACACTCTTTCTCTTTCTAAGCCCTTTGGTTTTAGGAGAGTAGAAAAATTGCTTGGCAGCCATGGTTAGACTGGATAGGATTCAATGATAACCGATCAGAAAGATTACTAAAATCTCAGTCTTGGGTGCATGCTCTCATATGAAAGGTAGTAGTCAGAGCTTACATTTGTATAAGGGGATTTGTATGATGTTTTCCATTTATCGAATATGCTCTTTATATATATTTAAGGTTTCTGAAGTAAGGAGAGATACTAGTATCTCTCTTTTCCAGGTAAGGAAACATTCAGATAGGTTAATTATCCCAGAGGCAAGACTTGATCTGGTTTAGACTAGATTAGATTTATACTATTTTCTATAACTTTTGTTGTGTCCATTTAAATTATCATGGGAAATAAGATACTTCTCTTTGGAGAAAGAGTATGTGGTATGGCAGTCTTTTGTTGTTAAGTAATTATTGCAGTTAAACTAACCAGCAGTTTGCTTTTTATATACTATCTATTGAAATGTAAAACACCTAGTTTTTTATAGATCTCTTACCTTTGAATTGTTCACCTCTGGATTTTGTTTGTAGGTTTATAGTATTCTTCGTCATGTTGCTGAGGTGTTAGAGTACACCAAGGATGAGCAGCTGGAAAGCCTGTTCCAGAGGACTGCCTGGGTCTTTGATGACAAGTACAAAAGACCTGGATACGGTGCCTATGATGCGTTTAAGCATGCTGTCTCGTAAGAACACCTTCTTGGCTCTGCTTCTACCTTGATATCACAACTGCTGGGTCTAGCACATGGGCTGAGAGCCTGACAATTAATCACACAATATCCATGTGTTATAAGTGCTTGCCAAATTTAGATTAGAATATTTCACTATAAAAGGCCAATCCTATATACCCAAGCCTATAGAATTTTGTGTAACATAGTTATATGCCTTCATAAACCAAATGGTCTCACCTCACACTGCTCCCTTACACATTTTTCTTTCCTATTTTGTTATTATCCTAGGTGTCTTCAGGCCAATGTAGATATCTCATCTAAAATTAACTTCTCATCTACCTCAGTTCCTTAGAATTCAGTCTATGCCCCTTTAGCCAGTTTTCCATGTTGGCTTGCTCTGGTCTTATTATTATCAGAATTTGCCCTGCGAGCTGTGTATCATAACCTTTACTTCAGCATTCTGTTCTTTTAACACAGCCTCCTGTTAATCCAGCTCCCACAGTTAGTTCTGTGCCATCTTAATTACTGTCAGGCTCTGATTCCAAACCTTTACTTTCTTCCTGTCTCTTCATTTTTTCCTGCCTTTTCTTGTTTAAGCATATATATACCATGATCTATCTTTTGAACAACTTTCTTGCCAATATCATGAGCTCTTTGCCCTGTTTTTCCTTCTGTTACATCCAGCCCTTGATCCATGTTCCTGCCTTCTCTGTACTCAGAGTCTTCTGGGTGCTGCTAGGAAAAAACAGAATCTTGCAGGTTGGTGCCACTGTATATTCATGGTCCCCAGCCTCAGCTGGACCTTCTCTGCTCCTGGTCAGCTCAGCTCTTTGGGGACTAGCTCTTTTGGAGTTTCTCTCTTTCTCGGATACTCCTTTCATTTAGGTGGTGTGCTCGCTTCCTAGTTTATAAAGAAAATAGAAGCCATTGCTTCTTTCTTCCTCTATCGCAGCAAACTTATCTCCCTCTCATTTGTCATTACCTCTTATCACACTGGGGTTCATATCTTTCTTTCTGTTAAATTAAGCCAACCTCCTTTGCCCAGGTACTGCTCAGGGATTGCTTGCTATCATTTTTTCCCTCTCTCGAGTCTTCAGCCTTTCCCTTTGTTGGTTTTGCACCATCAGCATAAATATATACTCTGATTTCTCTCACTTATACTAAAAAAAAGTCTTCTCAACTTTCCCTCTACTGTGTAGCAAACATGGCATAGTCTTCTTTTAACAGCCAGACTCCTTCAGTTCTCTGTACTAAGAGTCTCTTTTTTAATAAACTCTTAACCTCCTATTCCTGTCTAAATGTTAGTGTTCTTCAAGCATTCTCACTAGTCACTGAGGTTACTTTCTCAACCTTTGTGCTTCCAAAGGATATTGGTCCCCTGAACCCTCAGAATGGCCGGATGCCACGTGCTTCTTTTAGATCCTACAACAAGCCAACTCCAAATCCCTTCCAATTCACCTATCCCTGCCTCCCTCACTCCTGCCCCAGGCCCCCCCCCATGTGACTTTCTTTTAATATCACATGGGAAAGGTGAAAATAATTGCTAACCTTTATTTAATTCTCACAGCAATTTGTGGTATAAGTGCTATTATTATGCTTATCTTATGGGTGAGAAAATTGAGACAAAGATAAAATAATTTTTTCCAATTTTACACAGCTAGCAGATGGTAGAGCCAAGACTCAAACCCAGGCATTTTGGCTCCACCCAGATTTTTGTACAACTAATCGTTAAGCTCTGCTTTGTATTTCTGTTCTCTCTGACTTCAGTCCTGCACTCCTCCATCAGTATACCTTTTAACGTGGCTTGCTGTCATCATCTGGCCCTAGTTACCTCTAGCATCCCTCTCCAGTTAACTTTCACATGCATTATTCCCTTTTCTTTGGACATTCTTCTTTTGCTTCATCAATCATGTAGTGGCCATCCAGGTTTAACTAATGATATATATATATATATATATATATATACTCAATCATGTAGTGGCCATCCAGGTTTAACTAATGATATATATATATATATATATATATATATATATATTGCTACATGTGCTTCATGATTTTTTTTTTTTTTTTTTTTTTATAGAGGCATGTTTTATTTATTTATTTTGTTTGTTTGTTTGTTTTGTTTATACATGCACTGGGTACAGTCAGAAGCACGGGAGGGTGAGAGAATTCACCAGAGCCAGAGCGGGGAGCAGAGCAGGCAGAAGGACCGAAGTACACTGCTGAGGGGAGCAGCGGGTGGCAGGAGAGGTCTGCGCACCATGTGGGATCCTCCGCCGGTGGCCGGGGAGCAGCCGGGGATCGAACCGGCGCCGCAGAGGCCGCGGGCAGCTTCGCAACCCAGCGCTCAACCGCTGCGCCACCGGGGAGGCCCCGATTTTTTATTTTTTTAATTAAGAAATAAAATTTCTGAGGTAGCTGTAAGCAGTATTTTAACCTTCCCAATCCATTTTTCCCTACAAACATCAGTGGTAACCACTATTCTGAAATTAGTATGAATCATTATTTTGTTTCATGGTTGTAATACAGTGTAAAGTACCTATATAATGGTTTTTGTGTCTAAAATTAATTGTCGTATCTTTCTATACCTCGCTTTTTCGTAAGGCTGTAATTAAGCAGGACTTCCCCAAAGGGATAAATTATACCACTCTTTATTTTCTATGTAGTATATCATTGTAAGAATATACTTTCTCTGTTCCCCTATTAAGAGATATTTAGGAAATCTCCCCTATCCCTTCCCCCTGTTTTTGAAACAATTCTATAATGAAAATCCACATACATGTCTTCATAAATTTTCACGTTTCTAAGGTATATACCTAGGAATAGAATTGTTGGGTCATAGCATTGATATATACACCTTTAGATTTACCCAGTTTTGCTAAAGTACTCTCCAAATTGGTTCTACAATTTCTATTCCCTCTAGCAGTTGTATGAGTGAGTGTTTGTCCTTTCATTCTCACCAACATTTGGTATACATCATCTTTTTTTTTCCTTAAGCCAAACTGGTGGATGTACAATTGTGTCTTATTTTAGCTTGCATTCTACTGGTTGTTGGTAAAATTAGCAGCTTTTCATAAGTTTATTGATCCCTCGTATTCTATGAAGCCTTTCTTCATTGCATTTGCCCATTTCCTGTTGGTTTCTCTTCTCGCCGTTTTGTAGGCAGCATTAGCTGAATGAAAATTCCCTCCCTCCATCCACATTCTTTTGCCTTGTACTTCTTAATCTATCCTTTTTAAGCCTGATGCTTGCTTGTGCCATTCCTTTTTTGATACATCATCGCTGCCTTTCTTCCAATAATTCTTCTTTTGCTTGTTAAAGTCCTACCATTCTTTTAGTGAATTTTTTCTTTTTTTTTTTTCATTTGTTCAGTAGACCCTGGTCCCTGTGTTGTGGGACTTAGGAGAGTTAGATGAAATACCACTTTATCCATGAAGTCCTTCCTGGCCCTACTAATTGGAACTAGTACTTTACTTGCCTGAAGTGCAGGGATGCACTCTTCTCTTTGAAATTTTTCTCCCATGTTGTTCTTTTTCCAGGATGAATCATAAGCCTTGAAGCAGGGACTGCTGGTTACATTGGTTACATGGTGTCAAATATATTAGGAGACATTTTAAATTGCTTGCTTTAGACAGATTGCTAATTGGATGTTTCCTATTTGTTATATACTGCTAAGTTTTTCACTTTTCCTGTCTCATTTAATTCCATAATCCTGTGATATTTCACAGGATTCATTTCTCTTTCATTTTACAAATTTGGAAACAGATCTAGAAAGACCCAACAAAACATCGTTATTAAAGTGCAGAGCTAAGATTTGAACTCTAATTCTGATACTAAAGCCTTACTCTTAAATATTCTCTGCAGTATTATATTTAATAATTGCAATTTATCAATAAAGTAACCTTGACCTTTTTTGCTGTTTTTTGATTTGGGGATTTGTTTGTTTTTTATCAGAGATCCATCTATTTTGGATAGTTTAGATTTGAATGAAGATGAACGGGAAGTACTCATTAACAATATTAATAGGCGTTTGACCCCACAAGCTGTCAAAATTCGAGCAGGTAAAGGATTTTTTTAATGATGTGTAAAATATTTTGCATGTATCAAAAAAGTTGTTAATAAGCCTTACCAAAGAATATGTTCCTACATCAACATCTGTACATTTTTCTAAAAGCTTATTTTTTATAACAGAAAAACATTATTTCTACTTCTGCTGAATTGTGTATTTAAATCAACTCAAATGAAAACTGATTTGAGTTCAGCTAACCTTAAGTTAGCCCTTTTTTAAAAAAACAAAGGGGAGTTTATTTTGGTTTAGTGTATACTTTAAAGTATTCTTAGCCTGTTTATTGTTTGTATTTTTTTTTTTTTTTAAGATTTATTTATGTATGCTTACAAGAACAGGGTACAGGCCAGAGGTGCAGGGGGTGAGAGGATTCACCAGAGACAGAGCTGGGAACAGAACAGGCAGATTGACTGAAGTACACTGCTGAGGGGAGCAGCGGACAAGACAGGAGAGGTCTGCTGTGCCATGTGGGTGGCTCCCTGGCTGGCCAGGTATCAAACTCTTGCTGCAGAGGCTGTGGATAGCTTCATAGTGCTTGCGCCACCAGGGAGGCCCTCATTGTTTGTAATGTATTCTTTTAAGACATTTTTCCTATACACATATGCTATTGAGGAATTATGTGGTGTATATTTGGATTTAATTTTTTATTTTTACAATAATGGAATCATACTATGTAAGTTTTTTCTGACTATTGTTTTCTACTTGGTGTATCATAGCTGCCCTTTCATGCAGAGCACAGGAACCTTCTCATTCTTTTTAATGGCTAGGTAGTACTACATACACTGATAAATCTTAACAGTAACCACTGCCCTCTTAAAAGAACATTTAGGTTGAGCCAGTTTTTAATATTAAAAAAAAACTACAAATTAACACCCTTATACATGTGCACTTATTTATATGTAAGTGTTCTGTGAAGGTTCTGTAAAGCAAACTTTTTTTGAGAAATTTTTGGTGTAAAATTTTGAATTTTTATAATTTCAGATATTGAAGTGGCTTGTTATGGTTATGAAGGCATTGATGCTGTGAAAGAAGCCCTGAGAGCAGGTTTGAATTGTTCTACAGAAACTATGCCCATCAAAGTGAGTCATCGGTTTTCTCCCTTGCTGCTGCACAGCCCTCTAAGCCAAGTCAGATGTTTTTTATGATTTTATTTCTTAGCAAATGTTATGAAAAGTTGTAATATTTCTAGGGTATATTTACAACTTATGCCTAGACTTTTTGTTGTAGCTACTGCTGCTGTCATGGGGTGGGGTGGGGTGGGGTGGCTGTTGGTATTTAGAAGACTCCTTTACAGTAAAAAGGATTATGTGTGCCCATAATGCTCATAGTATTCTCTCATATTCACACAACTTTTAGGTGGTTTGGTCTGAATTATTTGTTAGTAAAATTAACTGGGTGATGGTTGTTCAGAATCTCTTAGAAGAATTTCTTTTATCAGTTTAGGACCAAATAGGAATTTTTGTTTGTTTAGTGACAGGTTATCTGTTATGCTGATGATGTCTAGGATTAGTTCAGACACCCAGAAGTCATAATTCTTCATACTTGGTATTGCAGTGCATTGTTTATACTACAGGGTTAAATTACTTATCATTTAGCTTTTGTTTCATTAACAAGCCACTCCAGATTCCTGTCCTATTGAGTTTTGGGGTGATTTGTTAAGGCAGCAGATTAACAAAGCAATTCTCAGACATCCCAATAGTTAGGTGTTCTGTAGGTACATTCATAATTAAATTTTTGTCTTTCTTCCATAGATTAATCTAATAGCTCCTCCTCGGTATGTGATGACTACAACAACCCTGGAGAGAACAGAAGGCCTCTCTGTCCTCAATCAGGCTATGGCTGTTATCAAAGAAAAGATTGAGGAAAAGAGGGGTGTCTTCAATGTGCAAATGGAGGTGAGATTAATATTATTTATGCCTTGTTCTAAAATTTTTTTTTTTAAAGATTTATCTATTTATTTATACAAGCACGGGGTACATTCAGAAGCGTGGGAGGGTGAGAGAATTCACCAGAGCCAGAGCGGGGAGCAGAGCAGGCAGAAGGACCGAAGCACACTGCTGAGGGGAGCAGCGGGCGGCAGGAGAGGTCTGCGCGCCATGTGGGACCCTCCTCCGGTGGCCGGGGAGCAGCCGGGGATCAAACCAGTGCTGCAGAAGCTGCGGGCAGCTTCGCAACCCAGTGCTCAACCGCTGCGCCACCGGGGGGGCCCTCCTTGTTCTAAAATTTTTAAGAAATTAAATCATTTAAATGATTTATATTCTAAAATCATAATCATTGCCTTTTAGTTTTAAAGATACATTGAAGATCATGACCCTGATAAGCATAAAGTAACCACTGTCTCAGTGGGTTCCTAAAAGGACTTTTTTTCAGTAAATAAAAACTGTTTTGTACAATGGGTATTCAGGACTATGAAAACTTACGGTGTTAGGTTTCTCTTCCCCAGCCCTAGGAGGGAAAAAAATAGACAATGAAAATGAGTGAATAGCTATTGTGAGAACTTAATGTGGAATGCTTAAAATTTGATCTCAGGATTTAGAAACGAGCCATCTCCTGTATTTTCCTCATATACTAATATTACATACATATAATTATTCCTTCTGTGGAAAGGAATAGTAATTTATTCTGAACCCGAAAGATGCAATTTTACAGGACATCTTTTTGTGGGTTCAGAGGATGCAATCACCGAGATTATTTTCATTTTGAGTTTGTAAAAATAACAGAAAATAGTATTCTGTTTTAATGTATGCAATATGCACATTTCTTTTTTCTATTTTTTTGTTCTTGTACATTTCTTTTGTTAAGAAATTGATTAGTGATGTGTCATCACTCAAAAGTGAACATGTACAGCAAAGTTGTCAGAAAGCAAAGTGTTTAAGAGAAAAATAGTAGGCAGTAATAGTAATTGACTTTGCATTTGTGTACTGTTTAACTACTTTGCTTTGAAATTATGCCTCTGCTTCCACAGCCCAAAGTGGTCACAGACACAGATGAGACTGAACTTGCAAGGCAGCTGGAAAGGCTTGAGAGAGAGAATGCAGAAGTGGATGGAGATGATGATGCAGAAGAAATGGAAGCCAAAGCTGAAGATTAACTTTGTGGAAAACAAGAGTCCAGTTTAAGGAATACAAAACAGCCCTTCTTGCTGTAAACCCTAGACTTGAAAGTTTTCCAGTATTGAAAACTTCAAAGCTGAATATTTTTTTATTTCCAAGTATTTAAATGTTCCAACAGACCAAATGCCCTCCTGAATGCCAGCTGTTTTCACACATTAGCTCCAACACATTGAGCACTTTTTGAGGGAGTGGCTTGATTTTACTAGAGACAAATATTTAAAAGTCATAAAATTGGGCTTGTGATTCCCATTTCTGATGTCTCCAGATTGGCACCCCTTTGTAGTTTAGTGCCTCCATGAGATTTCCAGAGGCACCCAAAGCAAATAGTCTGAACCTTTCTATATAAAATGTATCAAGCAAACATTAAATAAATTTCTGGGATATTTAACTATAGGCTTCTTCCTTCTTGTCACCAGTTAAAAGCGTTATGAATACTAAGACCTCATTCTCTTATCTTCATTTTAGTCTAGATGTGTGGGCAACTGGCCAAAGGATTGATGCAGCAGATCCTTTCAAAGGGGTTAGAGAAAGTACAGTTAAAGCGGAGTCTTCAGGGGGAAAAAGCCTTAAAATGCAGTTAAAGACATATTGGTTGTGTGCCTTTTACCTATTTGAGATTGATGACATCTGGTAGGAGGGACAAATAATCACACTGTACTGAGCTGCTTGTCTTGAGTTTGTAATTCAGGCTAGTAAATTATGTTTTGGTTTTTGCTGCTTTAATTTAGTTGTTTTAAGTATCACCATCCAACTTTTGATTTTTTTTCCTTTGGACTATTCACTAGGTGCCACCTAGAGCTTCAGTTCTCTTTATAATAGAATAAGGATCTTTTTGAACACAATTACAATTTTTCTACATGTTTTCATCATTTTTATCTTTAGGAGCTAATATTTTAAAAGTACACAAAGGTAAATTCCATAGATAACAAACACGTTTTGAAGTCACAGTTAACAGTAGTCAGGGTGTAGAAAGTCGAGTTCCTTTGGTCTGCTTTAAAATTTAAGCTCTAGGATAACTGAGGTATTAAATATATATTAATTTTAGTAATTATTCATAGAAGGATATCTAACTATTTAGGAGATTAAAACTAACTCACCCTAGTCAATCCAAAGCTAGACTTAACTATTAAAGGGACTGGAAAAGAGTGTGTTGGCAAGATAGGTAGTGCCATTTGTAAAGGTGTATCTGTTTAATTTAGTGGCCTCTACTAGCTTTTTAAATCCAAAAGTCTAACTCCATATAGCCATTTCCACGAGGGAGCTATATCTAGGTCCCATACTGGGAGTTTAGAGGAAAATCTTGGCTGTACTCAAAATGGCGCATAATTTTCACTTTTGTCTTTTTGAGGGGTCAAAAGACAAATCTAAAAGCTTACAGCATCAAGAATGTCATCAAAATATAACAGGTGCTCCTTAAATATTTGCTGTAAGTAGGAGAATGGAATTTTTACTTAGCTTACGGGTTTTTTAATTACTTCAAAAGCCATAACTGTTGAGAGAGATTGTTGGCCTGCATGGTGAGTGATTTTATTCCATGCAGGCCTTCTGTTCAGTTCAACCACAATTTTGCAGATTTGACACTTCACAGGAAAAGCTCAATCAATACCTCACTGATACCGTGGAGAGAATTAACTAAACTTCAAGTATACTTACACTCTGCTGATTGAAAAGTATCACTTGCAGATAGGTTTGCACCTGCTCCAAATAACTTGAGGATCAGATTGGTGGACAGTTGACTAGCTTAAAACGCCAATCTTGGATCTTTTCCCACCAAAGCCTCTTCCTTGATAATAGACAATTTCATCTCTACATTCTGTGTTTGAATAAAATAAAGTGGTTGTCAGCTAATTAGCTATAGTTTGGGTCTCAGTTATCACATTAATTGAAAATGATCATGAAGAAAATATGACCATTCAAAACCACTGTTCATGTTTTATAGCAAAGCGAGACCAATATCTGTGGATAATCCTGGAACACTGGAAACTTGCAGAGTCATGCTAAGCAGTACAATTAGTTATTCTTCAGCTGCCACACTTTCAAACATTCCTGACCCAACTACATTAACATCAAGAACAATTAAAATGCTTTGGGATTTTAAAAATTCAAGTGCTAGTACTTTGGCAAGAGTTATTGCCTCATTTGCCTTGAAGTGAAGTTCAACTACTTTACAATGCGTGAAGATTCTGCTCTCATACAGAGTGGGGCGCAGTTGTGCCAATTTGGAGTCCAGACAAATTCAGTTCATGTCAATGCCTATTGATATTCAAAAAGCAATAAGGAAACTAATTCCAGGGACGTTAGACCTTGAAATGCCGAATGGGAAATGGTGCTTTAAAAGGCAGTCTTACAATGTAAGAAATAAAGTAGAACCTCACTAGCTTGGAATTCCTGATCCTTTAGGTTTTCAAGACAAGATTAAGAGGACACAATTCAAACTAAGAAATTTTTACTTAAGCACTTTGGAAGTATCTATTCCCCTTAAATGTAAGTTACATATCTTACCTATTCATTAAAAGAAGTCTAAGCACTTGTACTTGGCAGGAATGCTAGCAGTGACTTGTGCCAGATGACTGTATGAACTTGAAAATAATAAAAATGTTTTTAAAAATATGATGCAGACTTTTTACTACTTCAGATTACCCTGACTGGTGAAGTTATCTTGGTACCTACTTGTCTCAGTTAATGTTTACTTTAGAACCTAATTTTCATGCCTCATTTCCCAGTTCTAGCTTTTGGTTCTTTAGAGAGCTCCTGCTTCTGTCCTTTGGCAAGTCTTGCTTGCTGGGCATCACTTTGAATGCCACTTTTCACAGCTATAATTTTACCTTTTTTTTTTTTTTTTTTTGTATGGTGGCTAATCTTTCCAACTGAGTCCATGATTTCTTTTCTGCAATGTATAATACTTACGTAGGCTTATTTTCCAAAGCAAAACAATACTCTCTGTTGAACCAAAATTTTCCCACCACCCCCACTTGAAGATGAAGCATATCACCTGGCAGATCACTTGAGATATTTCCATAATTAGTTTGCAAAATTTGTGTAACCTCAAGTATGAAAACTATAGAAGTTTATGCAGGAATTATAATAACCAGAAACAAATGCCAGTGTTTATTCCAAAGGAGTCAAGAGTTATTGACAGTATTTCATGGGTGAGAACTCCCACGAGACGTTTCATTAGTACAACATGGCGAGTTAGTGTTGAAACAAGGAAAATCTATGTTGTTGCCTGAAGAATGGCTGGCTGTGACGATGGGCAAAAGTCAGGTTCTGCCACTTCATGGCTGCTCTAGCATTAAGGGACGGGCTGTAATCAGGAACTTCACCTCACTCCAAAGCAGTACAAAATATACAAAGAAAAGTCTTAACACACTCCCTTTCTTCAGGGAATCCGTCTGTATCATCTGGTAGGAGGGGAATCCTGGTCCTGTTCTATGAGGACCTTGTCACGTTAACTTCTTGATAGCTTCAATCCATTCAACTCGCTCAGCCTTGCTGCTGGCCTGGATATAATAGTGTATGTCATCCTTAGTAATCACTTTGAAGAGATTTCCCTGGACATTCCCTTTAACACCTAGGCAGGAAAAAAAAAAAAAAATCAGTGAGTGAATATCTTGCAGCTGGAACCTGGTGAAAGTCAGAATTGAGACACAAATAGAAACACTTGTGACATCTAAAATACAAATGTATTTGATTAAGGAATCCCCCCAGACATAAGCTTTTCCTTCCATTCCCGTTCCCTTGCCTGTGACTTAAGAGCTATCAATGGTAGATCCGGACATTCTTGAAAGCCTTTTTGGCTTGCCCCCAGTGTTGACCATAGAGCTACAATTTTGGTCACATTACGGAATCCAGTATGTTTATGTTAGAAGCAGGTACAGCTTTGGGATTTAACTGGAACCTCAATTGCCACAGTCATGAAATGGGAATACGATCTTCCTGCCTTAGTGTGATAATAGAGATTAAAGAGTGTTGCTACCCTTTTTGTACTATGTAAGTTACTGTTATTAAGTGGAAGCTTCTGGGCCAGTAAGTACAGAATCTGAGTGAGAGGCCGAGTGAATATTAAGGAGAGGATGATTTAGTTGTACTGATCACTAAAACACCCCACACACCCTTTTCACCAATTCTGAAATTGGTTTCAAAACACTTCACTCCTTGTGTTACTGACAAGGCCCAACTTAGCTCCCGTAACTCGGTCCTTCAACAGCAGAGCCTTGCTGAGCGTGTAGGAGGGAGGCCTGAAATCTTTAAAGACCAGGCCGAAGTTACACCTTACCAGTGGGAACGCCATTATCCTCCAGAGCAGACACAAGTGACCCACGAAGAGAAAACCCACCCACTGGCCGGTTCTCTTCCTACAGAGGAAAGAGACTTGGTTAGGAATTGTGTGAATGCATAAAAGGAAAGTTACACTCTCGCCTGTTATTACTACACATCGTTATTACTATTCCACATTATTACTATTATTATACATCATCTGAGTGATAACCACCTCGGGTCAGCAAAGTCAGTCAGTCAGAGTTACTGTAACAGCCGATGAGGCTGAACTTAGATGTCTCTTTGCCAAGTTATGCACCAGTAAGGAAGCTTGGGCTTCATTTCATAGCCAGCAGCAGAAATGTGACACCCATCCTGGACCTCAGCCCTCCCAGTGGTCTGGCCTGCCCGCAGGGGGCTCCATGCTCCGGGCATAGGGTGGGGGTTTCTGACTAAAGCTCAGTGGAGTAAACACCGCCTGCTCTCCACACTGTCAAAAAAAATAATGAAAAGCACACATGGCTGACCAAGGTGACTAAAGGGTCACTATTCTTGCCACTTTTGACTGAATTGATGTCTTATCAACTCAGCAGGCTCTCTGAAACTCGGAATAGCAATTCTTTGATCAACTAGGAAAAAACACAAGAAAATTAGTAAATGGTGTTTAAATATTATATTGTGAAAAAGAAACTTTCAAAGCATTGGTGGGGAGAAGTTGAGGAGGCAGGATCCAGGGGCTCTTGGCCCAAAGGAGGAAAGAGACTAGGAAGCTCCAGCTGAGTCTCCATCAGCCTCATCCTCCCTAACCACTCCGCACTTTCAGAGAGACAAAAATATGCTTTTTCCCTCAAAACAATGAAGTCTCCTTCCTCAGGAAGTGACGGCAGATGCTGCAGGCAGCAACACTAGGAAAGAAAGGACTATAAGGAATGAACGAGTGGTATGGAAGGGCGGGCATGGTGGGGCGGCACTTGTGGGGGTTCTGGAAGAAAGGAAACTTCGTGCTGTGCTCAAGGCAGATGGGTCTGGACCCCACAGGCAGGCACTTGGGCGCAAGGCACTCACTTTGGAAGGGTCGTAGTAGTGCAGGAAAGCCGGGTCTTTCCTCAGGACAAAGCGCCGCACCTTCCAGTTTTTCCTCTTGTGGCCCTGAACAAAGAAAGAGTCGAAGGCTCATCAGGGACAGCGGAGAGAGTCACTTCCTCTGCTTCCACACGGCTGAACCTCCAAGCCAGCCTGCTCCAGGAGGCTACTTTCCTCAGTGAGTGTGCAGGACCCCCAAGGATTGCAGTGATGTAGGGTGGACTTCCGGCTTAGGAACACTTTAGCAAAATCACTGTCACATTTAATTGAGTTGCCAGAGCCAAGGAGAGTCAGTGCTGAAGGAAAAGCGAGCAGGACCCAGACATCACTCAGGGCAACAGGGAGGCAGCAGGAGTGAACTGGACCCAAAGATACCAACGTTTTAAGTGGCAGCTTAGTCCAAAATCCTACAGGTGCAAGGACACACACACATGCACACACACACAATGAAATCACTTTAACATTCTGCATCAGAAAAAGAAAAATGACGAATTTATATGTTAAAATCTAAGTGCAAGATATTAGCATGTGACTCTCCAGTGTCACACAGCAGCCCCCATCACAAAGCTTTCTAGCCCTCAAGTCTGCAAGGCCCAGAGGCCCTCCATGCCCTCCTCCTGTTCTTCCAGGCCCTCACTGCCTCTCGTCTCTAGTCTCCTGTCTGGCCCAGCAGAATAGGCTCTTGCATGGGTGGTCAGCCACCTCAGATCAGGCGGAGATCCTGATGTCCAAGAAGCAGGTGACAAGGACAGCACCTGCCCTGAGGAGCAACAGGAGTTGCACTGAGCGTGTGCACAGCACAGACACACATGCACACACATGTACGATGGGCCCACTAACACGGGCCGTGCAGAAGGTGCTCTGAACTTCACACGCTAGGACTTGACGATGTATTCACACCATGGCTTTGTCTTTGTGCTTGGGCAGCTGTGTGGTGACATGGTGCTACCGTTTAACGCGGTTAGCTGAGA